TTAATAATTCATTCCATCCTAGCTAACAATAGATTTACTGTAATAGTTCCAAGAGAATGGTAAAGTCTGTGACGCAAAGCTTTCAGGGTTTGCTGATATCATTGCCGGTGCTTATATCTTCCAGCCGTCGTCGACCTGGTCATTGTTCGACAATAATTATCGTTTTATACCCAATAACGGGGTTGTTAATGAAAAAAGGAATTGGGGAGTTAAATACGTGATTATCAAACTTGATAATTTTTAATAATAGTCAGATATAACATCTGTCCATGCTAACAATATTTTGTGTAACATTATTATAAGCTAACAAATCTTGCCGCTCACCAGACCATCTCAAACAACTTTTGTTATGAGACTTAATCTGTGTCCGAGAAATATTCAGCATTGGTTGACAATTCATAGAGCATTTTTGTGCATAGGTTACGTTACGTTTTGTGCACTATGATGTTATACAGCCAAAAATTCGGAATTCAATTGCATGTACCTGAAGCCTAATTCAACCCCTATGTTAAGCTCATCTTCACAATTTCAAGCTATATCGACCTTGACTACAACATCCACTATTCTTGTATAACGGTAGTTTATAAATGCAGCGATTTGATTGGGTTGTACGCTAGTGAATACAGCCAATAAGGTTTATAGTCTTTCTGTGGAGGACCCTGATTGGCTGTATTCGCACGCATACAATCCAATTAAATCGCTGCTTTGAGCGATAAAAGAAAAGTTGTTATTGCAGTCAGGGTATAAGACGAAGTTCGTAATAGCTTGACATCTTGAAGATGTGTTAAGCAGGAAGCTCTGAAAAAGATGTCTTACGTCACATCCGTATTTTATGCATACACAAACCTTCCCTAATATAACGTTATAGTCATCTTCGACAACGAAGGACGAAAATCATCAACTACTAACTTATTGTTTCCCAATAGCTTTCACGTCTCAATGAAAAATTGTTTTTGAAAAAAGGGACGACATGTACTGAACACGGGAACTTATTGGATTCCTGAGAAAAACTGCAAAATCCCTTAGATACAACTCCCTAAGGCAATACAGAACAACTGTTTCGATGTGATTCATACAACAATGGAAGAAACATTTATAATATTCTAAATAATAAAAGGTTAAAATTGATTTTGTGTATAATTCATTAAGAAAACCATTGTCATACCATATGTTAAATAGAAAAATGAAACGGAATTGAACTCTTAAAGGAGTATTATCATCTAATGTATAGCTGAGGTTGTTTTCTTTTCCGATGGTTGACCATTTATGGCCGAATCAAAGACATCAAGAAAAAACTAGTAGAAAATTAAACGGGGGTATTAAATTAAATGAAATCCTGTTGGTATGAAATTATAACCTATGAAAACTTGATGTGAAATTGGGGGCACGGTAGGGCTTATATGCAGTCTAAAGTTTGACGAAAATACGGTCTTGTTGCCTTAGTTTTCACATTCTGTTTCCGTGAAAAAAATATGACACAACTGCTTTGTAATTTAGCATTGAACAGTTAATTATGACTAAACTTTGCTATTCAAAATTTCTTTTTCCTTCCTTATTTTAGAGGATCTATCTCTTTAATCCTTTTTATGGGAAAATGGCGTAACAGGAAATGAAGGCCAATTCTAAATTATACTTTAAATTTTACAGTGTAACGTTATGAATATATGGTGTCGAAAATTTGCCGACGAATACGTCAAAGTACAGACATTCAATGCTTCAAAATAAATGTTTATCAACAAAGTCATTGAAATTTGCCTTTATAACTTGATCGTAAAATCCACCGACAGAAAGTAAATCATCATGTTTCAAATATTTCTCAACCTTCACAAATTTTCAAACTAACATTTTAAATCGAAGTTTTATTATGTCTTAGAGTGACCATTTTCTTCTGAATACAAAAAAAACACTTCCCTCAAGGAAACTTCCCGTGAAAATTATCTCATTTCGGATTGAAAATGTCCCTTGGTGAAGTGACCATTATTTCAAGTGTTGCTTTTCTCATCAACCGAAAGACAATCTGGTACTATTTTGAATTTGATATTTCAATTAATACAAAAATAATGTCGTGGAACAATAGCCATGCAAAATTTCTGTGGGGTTGTCGGTGACGTCGGAGTATAGGTGACACCCATAACACATGGCTCAATTCAAATTTGATCATCTTATCATTTCCTTAACACACAGTTCACCTTTTATAACGAGGATGTCGTTATAGTTTATCATTCATCAACTTTTTCCTTGTTCGTGAATCATAACATTATATCGCCATGATTTGTTAATCAGTCAATTTCAAACCACAGATGTACTTATATCTTGATCTTATCTTTAAATGTATACAACCTCTTAGGATGACTAAAATTTTTAAACTTGGCTAAAATGAGTCTTTGTTCATCAGTGGACTTACCTGGTGTCATAATTATACAACAGAATCCCTAGAAAAATCCGATAAATCCTTAAAATTGAGTAGTAATTCATTCAATTAAGTAACGTTGAAACGTGCTTAGAAGCGTTTTACAATAATTACTGTTTAATGAATATATCGTCTTATATAGAGATTCTATTCTTTAGTCATGACACCTGTAAGTCTAACTGATGAATATATACACTTATTGACCATGTTTGAGACTTTTATGTCTATTCTAAGAGATAGTATCCTTTTAAGTGATGAAGTGATTAAACTATTTTCTTCTGCGTATCATATCAGATTTCTTTTCTTGATTGAATCAAATATCTTTTACTGATTGCATCAATTTTATCTACTCTTTAAACGTATTTCTCTGTCTGATTAATGTCATTTCTTGATCGCAACTGTATTTTTTACTGATCATCAATTTCTCTTGCTTATTCCATTTTTTTTTCACTGATTTTCTTTTACTGATAACATCAATTTCTTTTTCTGATTACATCAATTTCTTTTACTGATTACATCAATTTCTATTACTGATTTCATCAATTTCTTTTACTGATTACATCAATTTCTTTTACTGATTTCATCAATTTCTTTTACCGATTACATTAATTTCTTTTACTGATTACATCAATTTTTTTTACTGATTTCATCAATTTCTTTTACTGATTACATCAATTTCTTTTACTGATTACATCCATTTCTTTTACTGATTACATCAATTTCTTTTATTGACTTCATTCACTTCTCCTACTGATGACATCATTTTTTTTCAGAATTTCTGTACCTTCCCAGAACCAGTGAAAAATTATCAACTTTTAAAGATTATCTAGTTTTGCCAATTTCGTATTCTGGATTTCATGGTTTCCTGTGACCATGCTTTTAAATTTCAGTCGACGTAATATTGTGTTCAGTAATAACAGCCCAGGGCTATTAGGATCAGACTCTGAGATAATGATCAAAACAAAATACTCCAAACTACTAATCCAGCTGTAATTTCTTCAATCTACGTTGATTGGAACACGTGCAATAAATAGTATATTAATATTATTAAGGATTTCAGAAGCTGTAAAACGCTGCTACTCTGTTGATTGAGTTGATCCTGATTTTCTAGCTATCGTACCTTACTTTTCTGTTAATATTGTAGACAAATTTTGATTTTTCACTGTAGTCTATAGACTGATCTTTCATTTTACCATAATATTAAGTTTAATATTAAATATTAATATTAACTCTGCTACTTACAATAATACAGTTTGTCTTGGTGTAACAACGACATTGGAATTTAGGTGATGGTCTATATAATGATGTCTGTGATCAATAACCTCAATATTGGTTGCAAATGAGTCTTCGGGGGAGGGAGTAAAGGTTGTAACTTTGTACAAATAGGGTACCATCAAATATACGACGTTCGTTTCCAGCGGATGCTGATATCGCAAACTACCCAATAAACGATGGGTAGTTTGCGATATCAGCATCCGCTGGAAGCGAACGTTAACTTCATCTACCATCTACCAACCATTATACGATGGGTACAACATTTTTAATCCAACGATGATACCAGCAAAAATCAAAGCTTATGGAAAGATTCTAGTATTCGCCATATAACCTCTTTGTCTACGTAATTGTATAGAATGTCAGAATCAATCAGGCAGAGCGGCACTGTGCAGATGTATTCTTCTTTAATACACACATGCATACTTTATAACGTCATAATCCAATTCCTTTAACAATTCTCATTTTAATAACGAGCAAACCAAATGTGTTTTACCATATTACTAATCCAGCTTGGGCTTAATCAATTGGGAGTGTAACACGTGCAATAAACAAATATTAGGTTAATGAATGGGTAGATTGAACTTGTAGAGTTTGAAGAAGAGAATATGATGACCAGGTGTTAGCCAGCCCTTGTATCAAGCTATCTACTATAATATATAGTATCTGTCAGTTATATACACAGGTGGTCAGTCCCGTCCACTTTGGTCCGATTTGATATACTTATCAGTACATATGGCGTTGTTAATATGATATCTTTCGCGTTTCTGCGTTAGATATGACCTACATCTTTCTAAAAATGGAACACCAGTGCGTCTTTTCGCATGTTAAAAATCAAAAGTTCAATTTTAGTTGCAAATGGTATTAAGTGGTATATGTCATTTCTTAAGCATAGCTGGGTATTAAGTTAAAGTTTTCGAGGCTGAAACATCGCTAATATTAGTTCCTCATTTGATTCGGGCGGAAATATGTCCAGTTGACTGTACTTCTCTTTCTCATGGTGTTTCAAAGACAATGCTGTAGAAACAACTCCCACCAAATTCTAGCGAATCCTGATGAATTTCCCCAATTTACTGCTGTGGACGACGGAGATCTTGGTCCTCAATCTTCATCGTGCATCAACGAAGTGAGCATCACCGAACGCATTCGAATGATGCACACTCCAACGGACCAGACTAAGAGTTTGCAACAGCCATGCTGCAAGCTAATAAGGGTGAAATTCATCGCAGTTATTACAATTGACCTAAGTATGATGAATGGATTCCGTTGATGTGCCCAATCCATATACAGCTTATACCAAACTAAAACAAAAACTTTTATATTTTGAATCTTTTTTTCTCATTTTGACCATTTCATGGCATTAACGTCTTATAACAAATAATAATTTTAACAAATATTTTTACATTAAAAAAATCAGTACAGATATACAAAAACAACACACTAACGAAAAGTAACAAAACTGTCTTTTAAAGTGAGGACAACAATAGTACACATTCATGTCGTTCATACACTAGTTCTAAATAAAATTTCTCTATAATATACTCTATATAACTTTCATACATAATAATAATATACCCCGTGATGGGAGTCACTTTTGACACACATTTCGAGTCACCAATCACACATTTAACATACGAGTCCGAGTATGATGAAGTAATGGAATATCAAGAAGTTCACATATCGAAGCAAAAAATGTTATTTTCACATACGAAACGACGAATTTCCCTCATATTGATGCGGATGACACTCGGATTGTTGAGCCATTTATTGTTGGAAAATGTTTATCAGAGCAACGTCAAGTTATGTCACAGGCGTGACGGACGTGACGTGTTACCAATGACTGTCGTTATCTGGACAACTGTGATGTTATTATTTGAATGTGACGGACATTGGATTATACTCCTTGTCGACTAGTTACATATGGATAACTGAAAAATACAAGAAAAAAATTCATTAAGCACATTATTTTAATTAAGATAAGTAAACATGTTCAATTTGGTTTAATGTTAACGTTGGGATTTGGTTATCGTGTGCACCTGTGTTGTGTTTTAACCACTCCCCATAATATACTGGCGCCAGTCTGTCGCCGATTTGGTCTGCCAACAATTTGAGGTATTCTAATTTGTCCAGCTGCACGATAATAGCTTAAAGCTATTTACAATGAATATTAAGTAAGAATTACTTACCGATTTCTTTCTTCGAGAAGATTGGGAAATCAATTTATTTCGATGGAGGTCGCATTTCAATATCTGTTTCCATGTACGATGAATTCTGAAATAATAATAGAAGACAAATTAAAAGATATTCAACGATTATTATTATTTTAAAACATTCTTCATGGGAAATGACAATTTTGAATTGCTAGCTTCGTGCGATGTTTGGACAATCAAAATACATCAATCCAAGATGTCGCGATTGATTGAGAAATTCCGCCATGGAATATGTATTGGAACTAGACATGAGACTGACTGGAATAACAGAGAAGTCACGAAGAGAAAATCAATATGAAACCTACCTCTTTTAATATGGAGTTGGATGCTGGCTTTTCTGATAATGGCGTCCTGCAAGTAGTTCCAATGGGTGAAAATTGGATGGGTTGGAACTCCAAAGCTAACTCCAAATCGAGAATATAGTCAATAACATGTTGTAATAAGTCCTTTTTGGATAATTTTTGTCCTGGATTCACGGTGGGTACTAAATCCTTGAGTTTGTGGAAACAAGCCGTCATTTCGGCCCCATCGTCGAATTTTCCCTTGGAGATTTTGAGCGATTTTATTCCTAAGTCGGCAGATGGAACACGAGCTTCTACAACAGCCTTCATTTTTGTAGTGTTGAGATGAGTGAGAAAATAATCCACAGAAAAAAATCACAGAAGTATAAAATAACGATAGATGTAGTTGGTATGAACACTGAAGCAGTGAATGATGTTCCTTCTGTCGATCACGAGTTTATAAACCTCTGTGGGTTCTGTACACTAGCAGGTCAGACGTGTGATAAGCCCCGCCTCCTCATTTACATTATGACGAAAACGTGAGAGCCTTGGTTAATCGATATGTCACGACAAATATTTCGACCAATCATTGACTTTGTTTTCGTTTATTTTTAGTTAAACCCTGCCTCCTATACAATCGGATTAACGTGTGACAACCACAATGTAAACACTCAAGGTCTATAGTAATATTATGTTTATTGTGTAAATTATTCGATTTTCGATGGGTCGAGTTCAATTTATTCTTTTATTTGCATTAATATATGTTTTTCAAATTCAAATTGATGTGTCCTGACTTGAAGACAATTTTTCTCATGACATTTTCTATCGTTTTCTGCACGTGATAACTCGATGTGAACCTCTACAATCAACAATTCAGCTAGCAGACTGACTGGCGCCGCACTTGTGACGTCACCCATTCAACACTGTATGTATTTCCTCTCGAGCCGGCGCCGTATAGTCGGTCGCTAGCGTTACATACCTGTCAATCAAACATAACTTCAAAGAAGCCGCCCTCGACTCACTGATAAATTGCATTAAAATTCGTCACCTTCGGCCCTTGGTTACTCCTCACTTGCACACCTGTGAATTTGCATATATTCATGTGTGTTTGGAGTGTTTTCGTTTAGAAGGACTGGCGCCAGTCAAATTGGGCAGATTAAGGAAAATAAATATGAGTAAAGGTTTTCTACCCGCTATACTGACAAGAGCATGTTTTGACTCGAGTTTTGGTATTTTACACCCAACCACCATAACATCTGCGGTGACAAATGTAATGTTCTTTCATATTTTCTCATCGAAGTCTGGCACCTGATATTGCGAGTGCGTCCCCCGTACGTTTAAACAAATTCATAATAATGTTCTACAAGTTTTTTTTTGAAGATCATGTTGCATTTTGAATCTGTATCGAATCGTTACGCGATTGGTTAGTGCAATGGGTTCAAATCTTGTATAAATAACTTTGTGTATTTTTATATATCTTTGCGTGTCGCCATCTTGTTCGATATTTGTATTGATATCTAAAATGTATTATTTTTTGCATTAACCCAGATCTACTAAAAATAAAGTTTGGTTTCGCCTCTCAGGTGCAGGTAGTCATTCGATGCAGTTCACACGATTTCGCTGTAAAGGTGACATTTTATTGAGTAACACTTGGGCTATTACGAACTTAGTCGTTGTCTAAGGCAACTGCAGGTGTCCTCGTTACCTCAACACCAATCCTTTCTCGTCTTCACACCTTGAACAACCCCAAAAGAATAGCCCCCATCACAATGTTACACTTGAGTTGCAAAGTTAATTTTCATGTGATTACTAAAAACAACTAGGGCATTAGAATCGAATTCAAGATGGCCACCATTATAATCTAAGCACGCATTATTCTCACACCGTGTAAAATTCAGATTAGGGGGATATAATAAGTGACAGGGAAGTTGGTGTAACAATTTTAAATTAAAATTGGTGGCAATCATTTGATTTGATTGATCAGTAATCGACACTATTAGTGTCAACAGCTTTTAGATCCAATTTGAATAAAATCAACCAAATTTAACCTGGTCCAAAACACATGAAAGATTAGGGCAAGTAACGTTTCACATTCTTTCGGTGTGTAACCTACTTTTTTTTTATCATACTGCCAAAATGATGGCGTTTGCCACTTTTAATATATTTTTGGACAATTTATTGCAATATTTCCTTGAGTGTCATTTAGTAATTGATGATATTAACACGAACACAATTATATGGATAACAATTACTTTAATACGTCGCAAGTTATTTATGAAAGTAATTGTTATCCATATAATTGTGTTCGTGTTATTGCAATATTCATAGCCATTTATTCGAAAAGGAAGTTTGATATCATTATCGTCCAATCATTCATAATGCAATATTACCATCATCACTGGTTTCAATAAATTCATGGCAATTTATATGGAAAGGAAGGTTTGATATCATTATTACTGTCAAACCATGCATAATGCAACATCATTGAATCAATATTATGGTTGCCATCATCATTTGTTTCAATAAATTGTTGCAATATTCATAGCCATTATTCTGTTGGTAAGGTTTGATATCATTATTGTCCAATTATTCATAATGCAATATTACTGTCAAACCATGCATAATGCAACATTATTGTATGGGCAATGCGTCGAAAACATGTCAATGAACGCATAAAAAATGAAATGCACGAAACCCATGTTGTCGCAATTTTATTGGACTTTTTCTCGGGTTTTTCAGAGTTTTTTCAGGTCGACGTAAGTTCGCAAATGGCTGCAGTCCAATTTTACTATATAAGTATAAATATTTATTGTGTTAATGATTTTTTTCAAAAATGGATTGCAGCACTTAACGCCTATAATATCAAACCTTATATTTTCTTGTAATTTGGTTTGCATCATTACTGATCTATCACGTCATACCGCTGTTAACAATGTTGTTTGCCATAATAGAAATTCGTAGTTCACGCCTTGCTATATTTATTGCGCTAATGAAAAAGTTAAAAAAGGATTGTCAACGCTTAACACATAATAATGTCAAACCATATTTCTTGCGAAAATAAGATAATGTTGTGTCAACATTTAATAGTTTTCATTAAAATTGCTAATTGTTGGTGTCATAGACACATCATTGGTATTCAATCTGGTTTCGGATTGCTTTAGACTGACATTTGGCATATTTGCATGCCAATGCTAAGAAATATCATACGTAATGTTTCTCATCTCCACCGTCAGCGAGTCAACGAACAGTGTACCCCCTCCCCCTCCTTCTTTCACCAAAAAAGGCCGCCAGGGAAGATCAAAGACAGTTTACAAAATGACAGAATAGTCTTTACACTCAGACTTTGAAATCGGAAAATCTGAGAAATTTTACCACCAATAAATAATTAAGATGCTTTGTAGTCAGATTTTACTCGAGGAAGATCTGAGAAACCATAAAATTTTAGAAGCTGTACACTCAGACTTCTGAGAACATCTGAGAAATTTTGCTCTCAGAAACTTCAGTTTCAAACATCGAAAGCACCGATAGCTTAACTTGAGGAAAATCTGAGAAACCATAAATTTAAGATGCTCTACACTACATACAAATCGGAACATCTGAAAAATATTACACTGAGAAATTGCATTTTCAAAGTTAAACATCGAAAGCACAGAGAGTTTAACATTGGGAATTCTGAGAAAGTTTAAACCGATAAAAACTTAAGACTCTTTCTATCAGGCTTAACTCTTGGAAAATCTGACAAACCATAAAATTTAAGATGCTTTAGACTCAGATTTTACTCTTGGAAATCTGAAAAAACTTAATAGATGTCGTTCATCTGGAAAATCTGAGAAACATTAAACCCTCATAAAATCTTCAGGTGATCCTCACTCATATGAAAAATCTTAGAAACCTTATAGCCAAATTGAGAAAAACTTTATAACCATACAATCTAAGATGCTATAGACATTATATTCAGAAAATCTGAGAAACTTTTTAGGTACTCGGAATATCTGAAATTGTTTAATTTCAGGATCATTTTGATTTTAAAACCTTCTTTTGAAAAGAAAATCGTTTGATGAATAAAAGTCTGAAGTTGAGAACTTGAAAAATGAAATATTAAAAATAATTGCCAAAAAAGTGGTTGATCTGAGATAAGAAATGAGAAGTCTTGGCACCACTAAAAGATGATATGGCTGATATTAGATTTGCAGGATTCCAAGAGTTGTAGAATATTGGAACAGACATGCTAGTGTTAGTAAAATGTGATTGATGCCACAATATGTTGTTGTTTAACAAGTTGATTATCTCCACAGATAAAAGCCCAGTTTTTCTTGCCGTATTCTATGTCGGTACCATCTTTCTTAAGTATTGCAGCTGTTGAATTTTGATAAAACTGGCGACGTAATTCTGCCCTCGTCTTGAAATAAATATTGTCTATCATATGTTGTAAATAAATTCTGCACCCTAACTCTTGATAATCATGTCTGTCTTTAATTTTAGTGGCGATAAACTCCATTTGTTGCACATCAAGTTCCAAGTGAAGAATTTTGACACTCTATGATGATTGCCTTTAAGAAGTTCATCAAGGTACGCCGTTGATTGGAGTCGAGATAGCTTTTTTACTGGAAAGAATATTAAGACCACTTGTTTCCCTCACTCAAGCTATTAGATAATTAGCACTAAAAGGTGATGTTCGCCAGATAATATGGCTCATTCCATTTTATTATAGAAAACAGCACCGTTTTCATGCACACCTTCGCCAGATTACGCCTGGAATTTCTCGAAGAAGAAAAAAACCTCTTCTGACACTAAGAAAACTTGGCGTGTTTTATCCTAAATTACCTCGACACGTGTTTCTCTGATACAAAACAACATATGCCTGAAAGGTGATCTGAAATGAGCCTGATGCTTCCCATTTCAAGATATTTTCCTTCATTTCACTAACAAGGTAGAAGGTAGATTCCAGGTGGGGTGGACTTTGTAACGTCCATCTGTTGTTTATGAACAAAGAAACAGCTGAACTCTGATAAGCTCTCTATCGTTCCCGCACCGACTGTACTCAATACAACCGCCATGTTAAGTCGGCAGTTGTTCGCCGGTAAAACGTATTTGGAAATTTTGGCAATGATTTCCTCCATATTAAAGTTATCCTTATGATTAATATAATTCCTAGCTGTGTTTTACTGCTAGTCGCGTGCCAAAGTGTGCTAAAAAGATAAGACGCGTGTGATTTCTATTGAAAAATGTTGAAGGGTGGGACTAGATGACATTCAAACTATTGTTCAAATAGATAACCCCATTACTTTTGGTAAATAACGGCGCGTGCTGAAAGGGCTTTCCTCGTTTTCAGCCAATAGGTAAATGCCACGTCATAACAAGTGTCTCCTTTTTTCTAAAAATAAATTTTCAAGGTAGCCAATTCTTTGAATATGAATAACAAATTATGGTAATCTACATGGTACAAGCATATGCAGATA